TACAAAGAAGAGTATTACTTCCTACCTTACAGAATTAGGTTAAAGTTTAAATAAGAATAAGTGTTCCTTGTTTAGTATACCTGGCTCATAGGGAGTGCTGCAAAATGCTCGCTATCGTCAATAGTGGATAATTTTAAAGAAATGTGTTTTTTTTTAATCAGTGAAATTACTATAAAGATGGTAAATAGGCATCCTCCCCTAATAAAAAGATTTGATTCATTTACAAATAACTGCACATATTTGCATGTAGACAATAATGTGATAATATCTTTAAATACAGTTTGTTCTTCTAAGAAGAATATAAGAACATACTGCTTCCCATTGATTCTAAACACCACCTTGTACTTGTTTACATTGTTAAATTGCTTAGCAACCTCTTTTCTAGCCTGAGTGGCCATGAAATTTCAACCAAGAACAGGGAAAAATACCACAATTCTTAAATGAATATACTACTCTCACGTTGAAGACTAAACGTAAAATTACATTTATTTTAAAATGTCTTCTCATGATTTCTTACTTTTTGCAAATTGAAATGCTTTTCCTCCTGAAAGGTAAAGATTGACTGTGGTAGTATTCAACATGTTGGTTAAGGGGCAAGGGGCATTTTGGAAAAGTTGGGTTATTGTCTCATGGTCCTGTCATCTGTAGATCAGTAGTCTCTCTCTGTCTCTCTCTCTGTCTCTCTCTCTGTCTCTCTCTCTGTCTCTATCTCTGTCTCTGTCTGTGTGTGTGTGTGTGTGTGTGTGTGTGTGTGTGTGTGTTTCTCTCTCTTCACTTTGGATTAGTTTAACAGTCACAGAGGGGAACAAGGTTGTAGTGACAAACTTCCCGTAGGAAAGAATAAAACATTTTCTTTTATATTTCCAAAAGGACACAGGCCCACTGCTTGTCTTAGTTCCTCTTAGTAATTCATGAACCTATAACAGCTACTTCCTTAAATTCCATCAGCTGTGAATATCTCCCTGCTAAGGGGAATCACCTTAGGTTTCTGTTAATCTTCTGTACTTTCCCGTGACCACACTGGTCTGGAACTTCCTAAAATTAGATCTTATCGCTGGTGGTTCATTTCTAAATTCAAGTAAGTGTTCTTTTTAGTGACTGAAGTTCATTCTTAGTTTTTAACAGGTCAGTTGGGCCTATAGCAAGGATTCCAGAATTGTTCTCCGTATTATATAGAGTTCTTTCTACCATGTATCCTTCCTCCTTCTTTCCTTCTTATCCCCTTTAAGACTGCATTTGAATCAGAAGACCAATCTCATGCTCTACCTGAGATCCAGTTTCTAGCCTAACTTAGCTTTTGACTTGGAATATAAACTATACTATTTTGAAGACAATTTTCTATTTATCCAATGAGGTAGCTATACTAAGTAAACATCATAATTTGTTTCAACAACAAAATTTCTAAGCTTTTATACATTTGAGAGTAACTTTCACTTTTTCTTAGGATGTAGATGATCACAGCTGGCTAATACCCACAGTGTAGCAAAAAGGAAAAAAAAAAAAGAGGTAAACTGCAAACATCACTAAAGACATGAAAGATCTATGGAAGGAAAGAGAATTAGAAACACAAATTCCTAAATAGGCTTATAATCACCAACTGTTTACCTCTCAGGGAACATTGGCCTATTCTAGGTACTACAGGCTGAAAATTAGATTTGGGCCAAGCAGAAAGATTCAGTTGGAAGGAAGAGAAACCAACAAGACTTTACTTGATGTACAGAAGTAATACAATGGATTAGAAAATGGAAGAATAAAAAATTCAAAGCTCTTTCCCATTTTTGAAGTGGTAGGGAAGGCATAAAGGGTGCTGAACCAGAAAGAGAATAACATCTCCTGCAGTTTCTAATCTTTAAAACGCAAAGTCCTACTAGAAAAAAAAAAATTGGATTTGCAATAAATGCACAGTTTTTATTCTTAAACCATTTCCTGGTTTTGAACTCCTGTGGAAGGACTAACTGTGATGGAAGCTCAAAATGTCTAAAAATTATAATCTTCACAACAGAGGAAAAGAACACTACTAACCTCCCATCAAAAGACCAAAGTGATCTCTGCAAAGAATAGGGGAAAACTAGAGATGAACAGAGACTTGCTAAAAACTATAACACACCCATATGTAATACAATCTCTGCCTGTCTGGTCACCAGAGAAAAAGAGAAACTTGCTTGTAGACATTCATCTGAACATTATGCAGACTTTTTGGTTACTTTTTTGGTATTGTTGTAATACTCAGTGTCTATAATATAACTCAAAATTACTAACAAGCAAAGAAAATTTAGTGTGATCTATAATCAAGAGAAAATATTGAACAATGCTAGTAGATCCACTGATATTTCAAATGCAAAAATTACCAGAAAATCGTTTTAAAATAATTTAAATTATTACAGTAAAGAAAAAAAAACACTGAATATCCATTATTAGATTCAGAATTTTAAGAGACTTGAAGTGGCTAAAAAATCTATATGGGTAACTTAAAATAGGAAAATACGTTATCTAAAATTAGGAACTCATTTGGATGAATTTATCAACATGTAGAACACAGCATATTTAATGCAAAGATAAGATCAGTGTTTTAAAATCCCAAAACTAAAACTCAACAGTGAGGAAAAAAATAGAAAGAACAGAATAAAATATAACAGACTTAGACACATCATCAAAAGTGTATAATTTCAGAGGAAAAAGAATATGAAGAAGAAATAATGACTGATAAAAACTAAAAATTTTCTACAACAGATAATAATGACACTGATCCAAGAAGAGGGATGTATTGTCACTCTCCCGTCACTGTGACAAAATATGTGATACCCACAATTTAAAGAAGGAGAGGTTTATTTTGGGCTCCTGGTTTTCAGGAGATTCAGTCCATGATCAGCTTCACATCAAAAATAGCATTGTAGATGAATGTGCAGAGGAAAGTCAGTCAATCCATGGCGGGCAAGAAGCAGAGAAAGAAGGGAGGAGCCAGGAGCCAGAATACACCTTCTCAGGTCACAACACCATGACCCACCTACAGCCAGTCCCCACTTCCACTGATGAGTATAGCACCCCATGACACACCACCTTCCCTAAGCCCCACATACGTGAGACTTTTAGGGGACATTTTAGATCTAAATAGACAAAAGAATACCAAGAAAGACAAAAACATTAAAACCACAACTAAGCGCGGCATGTTCAAAATACTGAAAATTAAAGAGCAGGGAAAGGGGTGAAGACGTTGTTTATAAAGTAACAAGGCCGACAGTGACTTTTTAGTAGAAAATTTTCAATAGAATCTGAGACACTGCTGTAACATCTTTAAAGAGCTGGAAGGAAATTTTTACACTAAGTAAAAACATTCAAAATTTAAGTCAAAGTAAATATATTTCCAAATAAATAAATCCTGAGAAAGCTTGTCTCAAGAAAATGACTTATAAATGGAAAACTTTCAGACTGAAGGAAAAAAAAATTCCAAATAGAAATATTCACATATGGGAAATATTCAAATATGGAAGAAATAAAGACCATAATAAAGGACAAATATGTGTATTATGTAATATTAATTTTTTGAAACAAAAATAGAGACTTTGGGAACACAGTATAGAAGTAAAATTGTGATAACAAAGAATGAAAATCTCTTAAAATGGGTTTAAAACTGTTGTAAGTTCTTTGCATCACCTGTGAACTGGTAAAAGTACCAGTTTAAACTGGGGAGGAATACTGACTTTTCAGGGTAAGAGATAAAAATGTTAAGCATGTATAATAGGCAAGCAAGTAGGAAAAGAGTGGCGTGTCAGTAAGTTTTTTATTGTTGAGACAAAATACCTGACAACCGAAAGATAAAATGGTCATTTTGGTTCACAGTTTGAGATGTTTCACGCCACGGTCACCTGGCTCCCGGGCAGATGTTGGAAGATAGGCATGGTGAACCAAAGCTGCTCACTTTTATGTCAGCCAGCGAGCAGAGAGAGAAAGAGCCAGAAATCAAAAGAACCAGAGACCAGAAGTCACCATCAAAGTCATGCCCCGTGTCCCATCCAGACACGCCTAAAAGTACGGTTCACTAATCTCAATCCAATCACACTGCAAATCAAAATTAACAATCACAGTAAGTTAAGGGACACAGGAAAGAAGCAGTAAATAGAGCAAATAGCAAGTAGATAAAAACAAACCATCTCAGTAATTGTATGTTAGTGCACTAAGCAATCAAAAAAGAAAGAATGGATTTTTATAAAATACATGGCTTGTGTGTTTTACAGGTACTTTATAAAAAGTATATTTTGAATCTTGATATATTTATCTAGGAGACAAAATAGGTGTGCACAAACACTTCGGATTTGAGTTTCAACTTTTAGTTATCAATTATTTGAATTAGGTTAGTGTGATACCTCTGTGTCTCCTCACGGTAATAAAGGGGCAGTTGTACCTATCTAATAGAGTTGGTGTTAAAAGTGAAGTTAAATTCATGAAAAAAATCTGAAACGGTGACAAGTGGACCTTCAGTAAGGGATGAATAGTATTGTCACCCTCATCACCGGACCCTAGGCTCTCTTAGGGGCCTGTCCAATGGACCTGATTTCAACTCTGCTGTTGGCCAAGCAGCCTTGCAAAGCTCCTCAAACTCTCTAAGCCTCAGCTCTCTCACCAGTACAATGAGAGCTGCACGGGTGAAATGAGGGTGTCTTCATATACTTAGTGCACTACCTAGAGGGCGATGACTCTGCTCTGCCACGGCCACAGTCACTGCTAACACATAAATCCGAGTACGGTGATCATTGGCCCGAAAGTTTCCAATGCCTTCTGATCTGCTTAGAGGAAAATCCGAAGGATTTATAATCACCCACAGGATCTCTCAAAATCTAAGCCTTCTTGAACTCATGACTTTGTGACTACTTTGTCCTCTGCATTCACTTGAGGCACGCTGGCCTCCTTGAACTTTCTCAAACTTGTAAGACAGTCATGCTGCTGTCTCAGGGTCATTGCCCTTGTAAAATCCACCCTCTGGAGATCTCTTTCCCTGCACTCACCTTCGCCACCTTTTAGATCAGCAGAGTTGCTTCTGTATCACTGTTGGTCTTGCTCCAATGTATTACTCCATGAAGACACGCAGATCTGCATACATAAAACTGTACCTCAGTACCACACTCAAGCCAACTTTCCTATTTTATTCCCTGGACTGTTTTTCTCCTTAGCAGAAATCAACATTTGGCTTTCTTTCCTACTATATGATATACGGGTTTATTGTATCGCCTTTCTCTATCACAAGATATGGACAAGGGTTTTTGTCTTTGCTCACCATTTTGGCCCCTACAACTACATGGTACATGGTAAGCACTCGCAACTACTTATTAAATATAAAAACTTAAAAGTTACTATTATCATTCACTTATTTGATCATGTCTCCTTCCTTTCCCCTCTTTAGTAAGCATTAGCAGTTTGAGCCACATCTGATCTCAAGATATAGCTCATCACATCCCAAAAATATTCTCCCCTGAATTCTCTAGTCCCTGTCATTTCTTCCTGCTTTATCAGCCCTCAGCCCTGATCTTTGTTCCACTAGTTTCATATCAGCAGAGATCTCACCCATATATACCTGCTGCTTTCCCACTAAACTTAGTGCAATACTTGTCACATAAAATATAGTCAACAAATGTGATGGTGAATCTTGATGACGACTTTGATTGGGTTGAGACACACCTAGGGGATTAGTGGAGCACACTCCTCCGTGTGTCTGCGTGTGCGTTTCCAGACATGAGAGGCGCGTGGGAAGCACACTGAGGAGGGAGACCTGCCCAGCATCTGCGAGGTGGGAGGCGCTATGCAGTAAGCTGGGGACCTGCGTGGAACAAAAGAAGAAAGAGGAGGAGGAGGAAGCCCACTACTCTCTCTCTCTTTCTCCTTCCCTCCTTCATAATCATCAGTTAAGCTATTCTGCCCCACTGTACGCTGCCTGCCAGACTGTTCTGGCCTGGACGCGCTGGAGCCAAGTTACCAAGAACTGAAGTCTCTGCAGCCATGAGCCAAAATAAACACTTTCTCCTTGAAGGTATTTTTCTCCATTATTTTGTCACACTGACACAAAGCTGACTAACACAATGAATTTCTAATTTGTTTTGTCTGTAGTAAAACTAGTTTTGTACATTACTTGTCCTTTCTTGCCAGTGCTATGTTTACCAAACTTTGCTACTTTATATTCCGTTTTGTTTTTTTTTTACTGACACCGTTCTGTATGACTTAGTCTGATCTATTAGCTGCCGGGCATTCATATTTTTCTCACTGGCTTGTATTCACAATAAAGGTTAAAAGCAATAGGTTGCCAGTTAGCAAAAATCCATTTAATACTGCTCAAATCTATCAAAATATCCAATTAATATTATGCATTAAAATTCCACAATAAAAGGATCCTGGCGATGAGTCTAGCAAGGAAAAGAGCAGAGGGAAGATAAAGCATTCTTTGTAAGAATGGGAAGATTGTGGCTATGGTGGTGTCACAAAGAGGAAGGCCTGGTCCTTTATTGGGAGCCTAGCAAATGCCAGCCCCTATTAATAGTACTTTGGATTTATGTTCTTGTTTGAATGAAAAATATGGTTGAGAAGAGAGGATGCTGGCAAATGTGGGAAGGTATGGAGGTGCGCATATTTGTGGATATTGTAAATTAGCAGGTCCTGGCCCTGTTCTTGCTTTGTATTAGTTATGCAAGCTTTAGCAGGTCAATTAATTCCCCTGAGCTTCTATTCTTACATACCAACTGGTATGAAGATCAAATAAAATAGCAGATATGAACAGTCATTAAAATTATGGGTATGTGTATGTGTGTGTTAGCTTTTCCCAGGACCTGATACTCACTTAAAGGAAGAAAGTTTTAATCTAGTTCACAGTTAAGTAAAATTCAGTATCCATTCACTTATTTTGCAATTTAGCCCAATAAATGCATTAAACATCTGTAGTGTGCAAGACTTCTTGGGGCCATGGAAAATAAAATGAAGAACTAAATATGATTCTATCTCAGAGTTTAAACTTGAAAGGAAGAAACGTAAGAGCATAAAAATAATCCCAAAATTCAAGAAAAAATATGTAGAGTGCTATTAATGTCATTTATAAATCATATACTAGGAAATCATGCTTAATAATTTACTTAATAAATATTTATTGAAGGTCAACTATGAACCAGGTGCTACTGTTGGAACAAAAGATAATAAACAAAAAAAGAAAAGGAATCCATTTTTGTGGAGTTTACATTCTAATGTATGCAAGTAGGGAACACTCTGGTATTCCAATGGATAAATACAACAACTTTTATTTAATTGCTGTGGTCACATAAATAGTAAGGAGTTTTAGAAAAGCAGAGGTCTTTTGTATTTTATCTGAGACTAAAATGATAATGGGGCTGATCTGAGTTGTTCTAAAGAGAGGATCTTGCACACAGAAACAATGACAAGGCTAAGATTCACAGGTGAGAAAAAGCTGGTGGGTCTGAGGACTGTTGAGACTGAGTTACGGGAAAGCATGCTGTATTAGTCAGACTTCCCCTGGCAAGACACAGTGTCAGGGACACCCACGATTTAAAGGAGGAGAAGTTTATGGGAGTCACTTTGTAAGGAGATTCAGTCCATAGTCAGCAGGCTCCCAGGCAGAAACACCAGGGCGGAGAGGTGGGGTAGGGCAAAACTGGATTCCTGGTAGCCAGGAAATAGAGCTGGGAACAGTGTCAGAGATAAAGGGGCCAAAGGCCAGCTAAGATCGCAAAGTCACACCTCTATACCTCACCACACACCCAGAAGGGTGCTATACTCGTTCCCCAGCTGGCTCCAAAGCCAGTCAAGTTGACAACCCACCCTAACTGCCATGCATGCTATGACAAATAGTGAGAAAGTCACATTCTATGAAGAGCAAAGAACAAGAGTCAGTCGGAGCCAGGCAGCACCCCACATTTTGGCTCCCGTGAAGAACCTGGTGTCTGACTGACACACCATATAGAGCCACAGGTTTTTAAAAGAGATAGGATCTGACTTACGTTTTAAAAGAGCAAACTAGCTGATAGGGTGTAGTGAGAACCGCAGTGGGGAGAAAGTGGATCCAGAAAACTCGGAAGGAGATATTTGCAGAATCCAGGTGAAGGGAAACAAACGGTGACTAAGGAGGAGAGGTGTAGACGTGGAGAAGGGGACAGATGCGGAATACGCTTTGGAGGGAAGCCAACAAGTGTTGAAGAGGAGGAGAAAGGTTGCTTCTAAATAAAGAAGGCTTCAGTTTCTATCTTTAGTTCAAAAGCCTTTTATGTCAGATGATAGAGCCACTAATAAATTTATTCCAAAAATATGTGCAATGTACGTTTAGGCGAATATTAAAATTTTTCCAGTATTAAAGTTCTCTCTGGCAAAAATAGTATCTGTTTATTAAAGAAAGTTGTTAAATATAGAAAAAATAAATATAAGTCCATGTAATATACAGTATGCTGTTTACCTAGGTAAGATGAGAAAAGCTTTTTCCTTGGATACATGATTTGATCTTGTATTGGAGGGCTGCTGCATCAGGTTTTACCTTCCTCCTTCAACATGTGAAAACAGTTTAACAATGTTAATGAGAGGAGTGGAGAGGTGTGGAGGTTCTTCCAGGATCAGAGGTAACTGTCATCCAGGGGGCAGAGGGGCCAGGCACTGTGCTGAGGTCCTGTTAGGGCAGAGGCCGCGGGACCCCAAGTCCAACTCGTCAGGGCCTTAAGTGTGCAGAGTCCCTGCTGCACACCCACTCCCACCCGTGTTTTGACAGGGGAGGAGGAGAACTGCAGCTATTTACAGCAACGATTGTCTGAGCAAGGATGAGAGCTGCAGTTCCTCAGGGAAGCTGGGTGGGAGACCTTTCTTAAAAGGCTGCTAAGTCTGCGGTTACCACTGTGGCCCTTTAAACGGCAGGAGGCCCAAGGACCGTTTTAATGCTTTTTTTCCCCCCTGAAAGACCAAGGATTCTCAGGAAGGTAAAGAGGGGAGGAAGGAAGCCTCAGGAGGTCCAGGGCCCGCCGCAGGTCTGGCTGGTCTGCGGTCACGCTGCGGCTGGAATGTGGCAGAGCAGCTTCGTGCAACATCCTCTCCCCTGCCGCGCGCAGTAATGGATCTCTGCGTCCTAAAAGAGGGAGATAATGCCGGGTTTGGCTTATAAATAGATGGTTGTATGCTCTCCCTGTGAAGCATTGATTGAGCCAGCCAGCCTGACGATCGATCTAATTTTAACTTCCGTGTTAGCCGCGCGCTCCCCGCGTGGCTGCGGAGCGCACCGTCTCGTGCTGCCGCCAGAGGGCGTGCGCGCGGCTTCCCGGCTCCCTGCACTTCTGGCCTCTGTTTACACAGACCTACAATGCGGGCCTTTATTGGGCTTGAAGTTTAATTTTTTTCTGCGCCGGGATGACCTCATCACTCATGAAAGTCGGAGGAGAGCGGAGAACTGATGACAGGCAGCAAGGAAAATCACGTTTGCATTTCACCTCCTCCCACGCCGCCACCTACACGGAGCATTCAGGAAGTGCTCCTTATCTGCAAACCGGTTGCTGGAAGTGGGGGAGGGCGGGAGGAGTAGGATGTTCAGTTCTTTCGGGTGCCCGGGCACTCAGTCTGCTGCTGCTGCTGCTGCTGCTGCTGCTGCTGTTTACGAGTTTGTATCTCCTATTCTCTGCCTCTCCACTGAGCTGGCGCTAGTGCCTTGCACCAGCACCCTCCCAGAAGGAATGACTTCACTTTCAAATGCTATGTGCTGTTCCTAGATATTCTTAACGGTGTCAGAGCTTAAATAATGGTCATTTACTTACGTTACTTGGCTTGTAAATTGTGGGTGGATTGTGGCTTCAAACGGATAGAGTGGAGAAGCAAAATCTGTCACATTTTTTGTTTACTACCTTTGGGGACCACGAAATATAGCATAGAGTATATGTCAGGGGCGATAGAAGACAGATAAAGATGTGCCCCCAAAACTCCCCAGCGCTAGAATCAGCGTCTCGATTTCAGGAGTTAAACAAAACATAGTGCTAGTAATTAATATTTCTCAATTCTTACGTGTTGGGAATTATACCAACCATTTTATGTTCATTATCTCACTAAATTCTCAAGATGATCCCTTAAATTCCATTACTATCTCCACATTAGATTTGAAGAAACTGAGGCTAAGTTTTTTGCCCAAAGTCTGATGCCAGAATAGGATGGAACCAAGATTTCAATCTCGGGAATGACTCCTTGAGGTAGTCTACTGTGTGGAGTGTCTTAAAGGCAAGCTCACGGGGCAAAATTAACCTGAAATGAAAGACTTGTAGATCAAGCAGAAAGCTTCCGCATGAGTAGCAGTTATCCAGGTCACTTTGGAACAGCGCCCATTGTGGAGAGAGATGGAAAATCTCAAGGAGGCAACAGAATTGGGAAAATGGTGACTAAGCGGAGAAGCGACTAGAGAGCTCTCCTGGGTTCTTACAAGGCAGAGCCAAGATGCCCCTTTTAAAGGCAGTGGACACAGCCTTAGAGATTAAGTATGAGAAGGGCAGAGTTTAATGCAGTGACTTTGGCATCCCTCTGAAGGACTAGCAGAGCACTCTTCTGGGGTCCTGGAGGTGTGGTCTTGGGTCTGTCTCCCGTTCCTTTCTGATACTCTTTCCGTGTGCTGCTTCTCCACCTATGAACCAGTTTTGCTCCCCCGCACCTTTCTACCATGATGTTTCTGCCTTACAACCTTCCAGCTGACAGCTGGGAGTTAGTGGGGAGGGGACGGTGGTAGAGAATAAGTCCATCACATGCATGTACAAAAACCTCACCCAATTAAAAAAGATACCATTTTTAAAAAATGAATGCAGCTAAACAGCTCTTCCTTCCATCTGTGGATGTCGAGTACTGTTTCCAGCCATGGGAAAGCTAATACAAGAATGAAGGGACTTAATTCATCCTTTAAAAAGATTGCTTTGCCTGTGGTGGGGAGAAGGAATGGGAGGCATGGAGAGGCTTTCCGGAAGTTAGTGCAGCAGCTCAGCTGGCGGAGGGGCCTCGACAAGGCCTGGCATATTGTAGATAGAAGACAGTGGTCTGTTTGCAGGCTTTGGTGATGGATCGGACAAGGAGACTGGCAGAGAGGGCTCGAGGCTCTCTCCTGGTTTCTGACTGGAGCACTGGATTGAGTGTGACATTGTTTACTAATCCAGATGATGTGAAAAGAGGAGCAAATTGGGTACTTTTCCCATTTGAGAAGCGAAGATTTCTGACCACCTGAACAGGAGAATTCTGTAGCAAGCACTTCAGCAATAAGTACTGAATGACTTGACAAAGTGTCCTGCTATTGTGGATGCTGTTGTTGTAGTTATGGCCTCCACAATCATAAAGGCAACCATCAGCATTGTCTGTGTACGATGCAATATGGAAAAAAGAAGCAGTGATAAATGTACTTGCTTTGGGGATCTGTTAGCTCTAAAAAGAACTGGAAGAAACTAACAAGTAGCGACTGTCTACTCATGCAAGATTCACAGGGCCAGTGGGCAGCCCTGTGGTTGAAAGTCCCGCATAGAAGAACCATGGACTGCTGAGAGTTGAAAAGAGTCTCATTATATCTATTAGAAAACTAAAACACAGAGGCGTAAAGTGGTTTGCCCAAGGTCATACAGCAAAACTATAAATGACCAAGAGCAAAGTTTAGATAGCTGGTTCTTTTCTCTGTTGCTATGCCTCCCAAGGGCTAAGGTTTTCTCTTAGATACATAAGCTTTCTTCAAAAGGAGAAGTGACCAGGTTACTATTAAACCTGAATCCACTCTCCTCCAGATACTGAGAAACACAAGGCTTTAGGCATTATACTCTCTCTCCATTCTACAGTTTTCTAAGCAGGAAGCTCAATTTCCTTTAGCAAGGCTGGACTTTGACCAGTAGGTGTGACCTAAGGTCATCTAACTCCTGGAAACGGATCACTCTTTCCCTAGGCAGAAGGAGTGGACAGAACCCTCTCCCCTTCCCTTAGTAGTATGTATCTTTTCCCTTGTTTAAAGTTCTCAGTTATAAAAAATTATCACCTGCTGTGAACCAGACCTTGTATCTCTTGAATTCTGTTGAATTAATGAAAGATAAAGGCTAGCTGATCCTTGTCTCCCCCCCCCTTTCTATTTTCTTCCTTTCCTTTCTTTGAACATTTTAGAATGGGACTGGAACTTAAAATTAGCATCCTTTCTAATGTTTGTAAAAATATGAGATGGAATAAACTGTCTCTTTGCTTTCTTAAAAATGGAAATGCACCAGCTTCAGTGAGCAGATCTGTAATCTGAGATACTCAGGAAGCTGAGGCAGGAGGATTATAAACACAAGGCCAGTCTGGGCAAGTTCCTGAGCTTTTGTCTCAAAGTAAAAAATAAAAACTAGTTGTAGCTCAGTGGCTGAGCACTTACTTAACATGCATAAGACCCTGAGTTCAGCCCTAATACTGAAAAAAAAAAGTAAAAATGAAATTAAATTTTAACAATGTCAAAGTAAAGCAAGAGAGATGAAAATGGTTTAAATCATACCATTTTATCAATCACATCATTTTGAAATAAGGTTTTGTATAACTGTGATTTGTGAGCAATATGGATCTTAGTTATAAGTAATCCTATTTGCTCAAATTCATTAATTTCTTTTTATCTCTTCAAGTAGCAAATACTATTGCCTTTATACATGGTTCTTTTGAAATATTCCATTTCTAGAATATCATTATCTTTTCTTCCATTATAGGGATACTGTCATCAGTGGCAGTAGTATCCTAGAGAAGGCCACATTTTACTCTGTGACTTACAGTAAAACATCTAACGACATTTCACAGCAGAGCCTGGCATTTATGCCACAGAAAACAGCTGTATGATATTTTTCTCTAAATAACTAAGTAAAAACCACTGCATGGAGAGATAGTTATGAATCATTCCTAGAAGGTAGAATCTAACCACTGGGGACTATCCATATTTTAATCAAATTACCTAAGTTACCATTTTTTTGTGTGTATGCCAGGAATCAAACTCAGGATCTTGTGCTTACCAGGCAGGTGCTTATGCTGCTGAACCATATCCCCACACCTAAAAGTTACCTTTTTATTTGAATAGCTTCTTTGGAAATTTTCCCCACACTGAAAGAAAAGTCAGCTCCACCAGAGAATCTGGCATGCTGGGACTGGGAGGACCAACAAGATAAGATATCAAACAGCCAGCCTTCTGGTAAGCCGTGCAGGCCCCCTCTGCTTCCAGGAAGAGAAAAGTCAGTGCCACCCATGAGCTTACTGGCCTGTGGGCTGAGAATCAACCTCCACCCCCCACCGAGCAACACATGGGTTGGGAGGACAACAGGCTGAGTTGATAGCAACTAAGGTAAAAGGAACTAAATACTTGTATTGTTGAGCTGATTTTTGCAGGTCTGGAGCCAGAGGTCTGAGCACCTCTCAGAGGATGACGCTATGCAATATAGCAAACATGGGGATTTCCTTCTGTCTTGTCTTTGAAATCCAACATTGTCCTCACTGTTTTGCTTTGTTCTGATTGTTTTGATTTATTCAATATTCTGTTTTGGTTTTATTCTGTATACCTGATGGAATGGACAGCTATTGTGAAGATAACAAGATGTACTATGATAGCTGTTGTTTTCCTAGTATCCTGCTTTGAAGTTCCGTACCAATTGTGCTGCTTTGTTCAGTTTTGTTATATTTTACCATCATTAAAAGAAAGGGAAAGAAGCAAATTCTCCCCACATTGACTAAAGGAAGTTTATTTCTATTTTTCTGTATTTTCAGTAGTTCTGCCACCAAAATATGTGAATACTAGAAAAAAGATAACAGACAAAAATCCTCCACACTGAAAATACCAATCAAAATTTAGAGGTTTGTTTTTTAGATTTAGGCAGGAACCTTCTTGATATTAATCCCCAACAAAAATCATGTGGAGTAACATGTCCAGAAAAGCAAGAAGGGCCTGCCATAAAAATAGGAAGCATGGAACAGTTGTACCTACTACTGATCAGGTTACCTTCAAAGAGAAAAATGATTGTTCTTTGGCACTGTAGAATAACCAGCATTGATCATCCATACACCGGCGTACTCACTGAAATGACACTACTTTGAGTTGTTTCTGGAGTGAAAGCTGGGCTGTGGCTAGCCCTAAGCAGAGACGTTCAGTTTTGGAGATTGTCTCCCTAGAATTAGCATCCAGTTTATAACTGTGACATACAGTGAGTTACCTATCTGACTTAGATTCATTGGCTTAATTAGCAGACAGGGACCTAAACTGCTCACCAACAAGCAAGAACTTTAATAGCCTAAGGCTTACAGACTTAGGAAAGAAAAGGACAATTTACTACTGTAGGAGACGGTGGATTTTTTCCCAACCAGTCAATGGAGAGAGATGGCACTTTTTTCTAAAAACTGTAAGCAGATAAGTTATTAAGCACTCTGAATAAACACATAAGAGCATTATTTCTGCTTTTCATGTGCTTATCTAGCGTTACCAAGCTGTTCATTGATGAGAATACATTTCTTCAACAACAAAGATTTTGGAAGTCCCATTCTTTTCCTGGTCATCTTGATAGCCTTTGACATACTGAGGCATAAACTGGGTGCTTTCTGCTTCTCTCTCTGATGGGCACAAATAACTTTTCTGCTGCTGCTGCTGCTACTGTTATTATTGTTGCTGTTGTTGTTGGTTTGGGTGCTAATTAGGGAAAGAAGACTGGGAATGAAAATATTTA